GTGTCCCTGGTAAGATTTATTCCCAAGTATCTTATTTTTTTTTTTGGTAGCTATTGTAAATGGTATTGCTTTCCTTATTTCTTTTTCAGTAATTTCTTTGCTGGTGTACAGAAATACAACTGATTTTTGGATGTTGATCTTGTATCCTGCCACAATGCTAAATCTCTTAATTAGTTCCAGTAGTTTTTTTGCTGAGTCTCTTGGATTTTCTATGTATAGGATCATATCATCAGGAAATAGGAATAGTTTTACTTCTTCCTTACTAATTTGGATGCTTTGATTTTCCTTTCTTGCCTTATTGGCCTGGCTAGGACTTCCAGTAAAATGGTGAATAGAAGTGGTGATAGAGGTCATCCTTGTCTGGTTCCTGTTCATGAGGGTAATGGTTTCCATCTTTCTTCATTGAGAATAATGTTGGTCATTGGTTTTGCATATATGCTCTTTATCATGTTGAGGAATGTCCCTTCTATTCCTATTTTGCTGAGAGTTTTTTTTTTTTTTTTTTATCAGGAATGGGTGTTGGATTTTATTAAATGCCTTTTCTGCATCATTGCTATGATCATGTGGCTCTTTTCCTTTGTTTTACTTATGTGATGGATGATGTTGGTTATTTTTCTAATGTTGAACCATTCTTGCATACCAGATAAGAACCACACTTGGTCATAATGTATTATTTTTTTGATATGTTGTTGGAATGTATTGGGTAGGATTTTGTTAAAGATTTTGGCATCTATATTCAGAGCGATATTGGTCTGTAGTTTTCCTTTTCAGTGATGTATTTGCTTGGTTTTGGTATCAAGATTATGCCTGCTTCATATAATGAATTTGGGAGGACTCCATCCTTTTCTATTCTGGAAATCTTTGAGTAGGATTGGTGTCAGTTCTTCTCTGATTGTTGTGTATAACTCTGTGGTGAAACCATCTGGGCCAGAACTTTTTGTTGGTAATTTTTTTATGACCTGTTCATTTTCTTCTTTTGTTATGGGTCTGTTCAACTTTTCCACCTCAGTCAGTGTTAGCTTAGGTAAGTAGTGTGTTTCTAGAAATCTATTTCTTATAGATTTTCAAATTTGTTGGAGTACAGTTCTTCATAGTTTACTGATATCTTTTTTTATTTCAGTGGTTCTGTTGTGATGTCGCCCAATGCGTTTCTTATTCATATTATTTGTATTCTCTCCCTCTTTTCCTTTGTTAAATTTGCCCACAGTTTGTCAATTTTTTCAATCTTTTCAAAAAAACAACTTCTAGTCTTGTTGATTTTTTCTATTGTCTTCCTATTTTCTGTTCCATTGATTTCTGCTCAAATCTTTATTATTTCCTTTCTTCTGGTGACTGTAGGCATTTCTTGCTGTTTTTATTTTCCTAATTGCTGGAGATGTTGGTTTAAGGTGTTGACTTTGGCTCTTTCTTTTTCTTTGATGTGTGCATTTATTGCTATGAATTGGCCTGTGATCACTGTGTTTGCTGTGTCCTAAAGATGTTGATATGTTGTGTTTTCATTCTCATTCTATTCAAGGAATTTTTTTTTTTAATTTCTTCTATTACCCAGTCATTCGTCAGAAGGGTGTTGTTCAGTTTCCATGTGTTTGCTATTTTTCTGTTGATCTTCCTATTGTTGATTTCTAATTTTATAGCATTGTAATCTGAGAAGATGTTTTGCAGTAG